TTCTATGATCCCACACTTAAGTCAATTAACTGCAACATTTTTTTGAGTCGTGAGACGAGTCGAGCCACGATTTCCTGTTCTAACTGCACATAGGTCTGGTTTGTTGACTAGCGAGGCCGAAAGTAGGCAGCCAATTTGGCCCGCCTGTAGGTTATTGCAGCCACCTATGACTAACATGATGTCAAAAATTTGAATTTCAAGTGTGAAATTCAAATTTCAAAAACATTCTCTTTTTCTTTTTCACTTTTTCTTGTCTATGAAAAAAGGAATTTTTAGCAAATACCCTTTTACAGTTCTTTACTTTCGTTCTTAATATTCTTTGAAATTTTCGTATACCACTTTCTAGCCATATAACTGCAATTATTTCTTCAGTTATCCTTTTTTTTTGTTTTTTTTGTGTGGGGTGGGGGGGTTCATAATTTCCTGCGCTTCTCAGTTCTCTTCTATTAAATGTTGCTTTTTTCCTCTATTTTTACCATAATTGAAAGAGTAATGCCATGAGCAAAATAGATAGTTCACTTAGAACTGATTTTACTACAATGCCTAATTCTATTTCAAATGAATTACGATATAACGAGGATTTAACTAATTCAAAAACTTTAAACGATGATTCTAATGGCCTAATTTTCAAACAAGTAAGAAAAAATTAGCTTAAAAAAAAAAAGATGACTTAATTTACAAAAACAAAGATGGTGGGACAAGAGGCTTGCGATCTAGCTCGGCACCCATTAATGAGCAGATGGACGAGAAGAGCCTAATTTTTTTCAAATGACCAAGCTCGTGCTCGCACATCTCCAAGTGAGCACAAGCTAGTTCGCCAGTTGGCCAAGCCAAACTAATTGAACTCGACCCATTTACATCCCTACCTATTCTTTGATAAATGTATACAGAATACTCAGAATTTATAATAGTTTTTGAATTATTTTTTACTATCTAGTACGTAATATATCGACCTAAACATTAATTTGCAATTTTTGATTAATATATAAACAAAAAATAATCAATTTAAAAGTAAAGAAATAACAAAGCATCAGCAATCATTTTAATTCATTTACAATACCAAAATCTCAATACGGGCAAAGACCTTAATATGTAACAGCCATTCTTATTCTTGTCCATATAATAGCCTAAAGTTTCACTCATCACTTAAACTATAAAATATGATACACATGCTTGTCTTTTTAGCACTAATTTATGACCAGATAAACCATCCCAGCGCCTCTCTTTCCTCATGCTGCTCCTGCTCTGCTCCCACAAATGCGGAGAAATAGTTTCCACCATCATCATGGCCATCATCCTCCAATTGAACACAATCGACGGCTGCTACGTATGAAGGATAGTCATTGTCAGGGAAGTAGGAATTGCCACTGTCCACAAGGTGAGGACAGNNNGCCACTGTCCACAAGGTGAGGACAGTCTTCATCCACCACGGCGCTGCCATTACTGCCAGTGCTGAGGCGGTCTTCCACCTTCATGCTGATTTGGAGGGCAGGAGCAGAGGAGACAACAACCGGAAGTGGATCAGAATTTTGGCATGGCACGGGCTCTCCAGCCACCTCTTTAGCTCCCAACTTCTCCGTCATGGAAAGGACCTATTATAATGCCATAGACAAATTGGATGAACATGTATTTGATTAAGAGTTCTTAGCCTT